AAGAAGTGGTGAATGCTTCATCCCTGGCAGTGTTCAAGGATAGGTTGCACAGAGCCTTGGGCGACATAAATCTAGTGTGAGGTGTTCTGGAACTAGATGATCTTAAGGTCGTTTCCAAACCTAACCTTTCTATGATTCTATGAAAATAGCACATTTGATACCATTTAATTCAGCAATAATGTTAAAATTAATCTGGCTTAATTTATTATGCCTCTGAATAAGAACTGGTCTTTCAAGAAGATAAAAGCTTTTGGCATTTTATATTTGAGTAATTTTTTTGATTGAAGATTAGAAACTTGCAAATAAGAATGACAATCTTACAAGTACATCGCTATTTTCTGAAATAACATCTATACTAGCAAAATCAGTTCCTCTGATCATTTGAGAAGATTTAATATGAACATTTCTCATAGTATTGAGCAGCATTGAGTTAATTTTTATAGAACTTGCAGTTCTTTTATAGAACTTGCAGTTCACTTCTAATTTGTTTCTTGGTGTCTAATAAACCCTCTGAGTGGCATATAAAAGCAAGAATATAGCTGTGTTATCTAAATTGCGACAATCATGAATTGTTTTGCAGTGTAATTCCTTCCTGGTTTTCTTGTTTTAAAATAAATCTGTTTTTCTTGTTTTAAAGTTTAAATGATTATGTTTAGGTGGTAGTCTTGATAAGAACCTCTGTTGATGGCTGTCATTTCCACACCTTTATTGTCTTTGTTGAGGAATGGCTTGCTGTGCACAAATCAATCTCAAATTCAGCTCCCTGGGTATCTTAGAATTATGGAACTATTATAGCCACTTGCTATTTTTTTTAGTCAAACTGATGCTGGCTTTTCAAAGCATTATGAACGTAATTTTAAAAAACGGCACTGGACTTCCCAGAAACTTGTTTTCAAAAGAGCTTAGAAAGTAATCCTTGCTGTGCTTGGGAAAAAATCACTAGCTTTCTACTGCTGTTCTACCAGATTCTCCTAAATGGAGCTTGCTAAAAAAACCTTAAATCCATTTGGGACTTTGGTACATCTTTGTTAGAAAGTTTTCTGAAGCTACTTTGAACCTTTTTTTATGCATGTTCAGATGATATATTCTTGAGAAATAATCTGTTTCCAGATACACAAATTTCTGGTTTCACTTGCTTTGCAGGTTTGCTAAGATTCACATGAGAACCTGCTGGGTAGTTTTCATGTTTGGATGGTGTATCCTTCCGAGTCAGAGGATTACATACAACACATTCAAAATTGCTGCAGTAGCCAACTGTAAATACATTCCCTTTGAAACTTAAAGGATAGGAAGGTTGCATAATATTGCATAATATTTTTTAGCTAAATACAGACTAATCAATTATTCTTGCTTGTAGCAGTCTGAAATTCAAAGATGCCTCTGAAGTTACAAGTGCAAACCCAGAGAAGCTTCACTGATTGCTAAGGGGCTATGCTGCTTATGTATTGAATGATTAGATTTTAAGTTTTAGGCACTGGCAAGCTAAAGAAAGTTACTTAAATTTTTACCAGCTGCTGTAAACTGGTTATTTAAATCCCATTTTTAAAGGTCTTGCAAATACCAAGTTACTTATGTAACAGATGATAAAAGTACACATGTATTTGCTACTCCAAGGAATGAGTGGTGACTCTGCTAGCCTTTCAGCTTAATTCCTCTTTTGATTCTGTCTTGTGTTAATTCTGGACTTATAAGGGGAGTAACTACCAAGATTGTAATCAAGGTCCTACAAGTGACCAAGGAGTTTGAATTTATATTACTACTGTCGTGTCATTGGTGAAGAAATACTGCTCGTCAGGTAAGCTAGCTTGAGTTAAATAAATCTGAAAAGGGCTATCTTGTGTGAACATGATTCACGGTGCTGGTAAAAACTAGCAAAGATGAACTTCACAGGTTGGGTGAGTAATACGTATTTCTAAATTATGAAACTTGCTGCAGGCTTGCAAAAGCGCCCCAACTTTCAGGCAAACTGGGCTCTTTTTTGCAAAAAGTATACTGAGACAGATCAAAGCTTCACTGCGAAGTGCCTGAAGTTATAAACTGCTTGGAGGATGTAAATATGCCTCATACTGGGAAGGTGCTAACTGATACCAATAAGCACAGAAGCCGAATACAATTAACCATCTTAAGTGAAATCTCTTAATTACACTTTCACAAACCCTGGACCAAAGACTGTGTCTACTTGAAGTCTTCAGCTAGAACTTGGGAACATTCTCATTGTTTGTAAGACCACTCTCTAAAACGTGAAATGATATTTCTGGAAATCTAGTGTGGCAACAAAATCAACTTCTAAGACATGAGTATATCCATTTATAGTGTCCTGGGTTCAGCAGTAGCAGTCATTTTTCTCCTTTGTAGCTGGTGCAGTGCTGTGGTTTTGACTTTTGGCCTGGGAACAGCGCTGATAACACTGGTGTTTTTAGTTGCTAAATCATGTTTACTCTGACCAAGGACTTTGTGAGTCTCATGCTCTGACAGGGAGGAGGGGAAGCCAGGACGAAGCAGAGACAGGACACCTGACCCAAACTTACCAAAGAGGTATTCCATACCACAGCATGTCATGCCCAGGATGCAGAGCTGGGGGCAGTTACCTGGAAGGGCTGGATCACTGCTCGGTCAGGTGGGGTATCAGTTGGCGGGTGATGAGTGGTTATATTCTCTTCCCTTGTTATTTCCCTATCATTATTAGCATTGGTGGTAGCAGTAGTGGTTTGTGTTATACCTTAGTTACTGGACTGTTCTTATCGCAACCCATGGGAGTTACGTTCTTTTGATTCCCCTCCCCATCCCTCGGGGGAGGGGGGGGGGGCGGGAAGGGAAGGAGTGAGACAGAGACTTCGTGGTTCTGATTTATGGCTGGGCTTAAACCATGACATATACTTACTATAGTAATCTGAATTCAGTATCTGTATACTGATATAGCTATCTCTACAACTGCACATACCTATTTTTCACAGCTCCTTTGTTTTGTGGTTTCTGTGCTCTAGGTCTAGGCCTGACTCTTAGCAAATTTCATGGGGTGCTAATTTAGAAAAAAACATGCTGACAGAAGTACCCCAGCCTTAGGATACACATCTTACAGATGGTGATTGCTGTCCTGGATGATACAACTGAGCAATTAATAAGGTACAGTTAGATTTAATTGGGGAAGATTTTCGTACTACTCATGCATTATGCGTATGCCATGGACAAGCAGAATTCAGAGAATCTCCCAAATCATCTTATTTTATGTTGGTTACTATGTCCATCTTTTTGCATCATGCTGTTAGCTGCAAGGGCATATCTACACAAAGAAATGAGAAAGGTAGGTTAAGTAAGCCACAATGTATTTGCATCTGCTGTCCCTGTAAGTGTGCCACAGTGCAACATATACAGGCAGAGTACGATCAAGTTTTCTTAATTTATGGTGTTCCTTTTGCTTATTTCAGTATCTTTTTGTAGCTACTTACAGCTAAGCAAGTCTAATTCAGTGCAAGGTCTGCATGATTTGTATAAGGGGTATTGAGATCAATACTATATAGGTCAGGGTGGGATACAAAAAAGAAATCCTGTTTAGCATCTGTCTAAAAATAAAAATGTAGAGAATGGCAACAGCAGTGAAGCATCCATGACATGAGTGATACTCAACACGCTCAGTGCACCTAAAAGGAAAAACAGAACCATAAGAGGGTAGCTTAACAAGCAGTTAACACTTTATCATAAAGAAGTAGCTAAATTTAGTATTTGGGAAAGGACAGTCCCAAATAGATACTATAAAATTGTTTGGAGATGTACTGCACTAAAAGCCAAGTTAAAAAATAAAAGCCTTTGCTTATTAACCATGGATATTTGTTTACAAAGCACATAGTGTCTATTCTGCAGGTGAAATCAGTTGCTTACAATAAAAGCAGAGAAACGACCAACAAGCTGCAAGATATACTTACAGACATAGCACTGTCAAAATCTTGGTTTAAAAATTCTGGTAGCATCTTCCTACAATTGGAAATACTCTGTAGTTATTACTTGGGGTTCCAAGGTGCCTATACAGTCTTGTTTTCTCTGCTGCAGTTGCAAGTTGCTTACAGAGTTTCTAAATTCTTCTAGAATGAGCCTTATATGTGCAAAGTTTTCTCTACAAAGTGGACACATCACTGCAAAGTCATTCTCCAGTTAATCTTGGTGGTGAGCCCAAGTTTTCATACATGTTATGTGCACATTATTACCACAGCTGTAGCTGCAGGAAATTAGTACCAATTTATGTAATTTCTCCAGAAGCATATAAGAAGAAACAGCAAAAAAAAAAAAAAAATCACAAAGAGGTCTAGTGATGCCTGTTCAAAAGAAACCCCAAACCAACCCAAACTAAAAGTGCTTTTTCAACAGCCAAAGAATTAAGCCTTCCACCGTCTTTTGAAAAGTGAAATAATAAAATTATTTCCTTAGTAGAATTCATGATGCTTGTAAATTAAATGTATTTTGCTTCTCATTCACAGTTCAGGAGGCTAATCTCATCAGCAAATGCTGTCACTTCAGTAAAACACTGAAGGGTGTTCCTTGAGGTTTCCTTATCTTCACAAGGAGAAAATGATACAAGGTAGAAAATTCCTCTGCTAACAGCCAGCTTTGGCAAATTAATCTGTTCTCTGAAACTCAGCTTGGGTACAGTTCTGATACCATGCCAGAATATTCCATAGCCAGAAACTAGTTATGAGTTAAGATGATGGTTTCTACTGAAGTTATTTTGCCTATACAAAATTTTGGAAAGTAAAAAGTTCCAAAATCTAGTTAAGATAGAAAAATACAAGGTAGGTTTTGACAATGTACAAGATGTTTGGGTTTGTTCTGCCAAAAAAAACCAACCTAGCCTAGCAAAATTAGTAATTTTCTGTTAATTTGATGGGGTTTGATTCAGCCTATGGCATCTCAAGAGAAGTAATACAAGCACAAGTGATGTGAGAATGGGATAGCATAGACTTCTGCATGAGACTTCATGTTATGTCCGGAGCAGCAGTTTGTGACTTCTTTTGCAGTGCATCAGGCATTTGTGGAAGCTGCAGAGGTTTGTTCTGGAGTCTGAAATGGATCTTATGTGACTGTTGTTAACAAGATGTTTATCTTTGCTCCGATATAAACACACCTGCTCTAATACATAAATAAATTTGCTTCCACCCGGCTACTACACCCAGCCAACAGCTCCAGTACGTTATGGAGAAGAAACTGGTGTAAGTATATGTTGCCCAGCCTTCGGCCTCGATTTTCGTTTACAGAAATCACGGCTGCGCCTCACACTAAAGCAGGACCGTGCAGTTATGGAAGAACTGCCGCCCACAGAGGTGCCGAGGTGCCCGTAGGCGCGCCTGCCACCGAAACCGCGAAGCGGCACTGCTATGCTGTGTAAGGGCGGCCTGGCCTCGCCAGTTCCGCCAGCTGAGGAAAGGCCCTGCTGGCCAAGCTGCCCCGCAGCGTCGTCCCGCACCGTCAGCGATGGCCCGCCCCTGCTCGCCTCCAGCCGCAAGATGGTATCCAGCTCCGGCAGGACGCTGCTCATCGCCCGGTCCTGCCGCCACAGCCTCAGCTCGGCGCTCTCACCCTCCGGTCGCATGGCTGCGGGCAGCGCGCGAGTGGCCGGTCCCTATGGCAACGGCGCGGCCGCCATTATCAGAGGGCCTGCCGACCCGCAGGCCGGGCTCGCCGTACCCCTGCTCCCTCAGGTAGACTCTGCCGCGGTCGCCGGGCCGAGCGTGGGTTCCTGAGGGCTGCCCACAGTGTGTCCCAGCGTTGGCCTCGTAACGCCACGTGTTTTATTACCTGCTTTTTGTAAAGCAAAGCAGTTGTGAAGACATTTACCAGAGGCGGGTTTCTGTGCTGTGTCGCAGGCGCTAGGGGGAACTGTTGCACTCTCCATAGTCTTGTGCGAGTGAGATCATCATTTCAAGTTAAATATTTCTATGAGTTTTCCAAAGAATTGAGTTACGAATCTTTTCAGAACATAAAAGTCATTTGTGTAGTTTTTTACTGGAGCGTAAACAGATATAATATGGTAGTGGATGTCTAACTCCAATTTATGTTTTTTAAGGACATAAGTCTTTCTGGCTTGTGCTGGGTTTCTCTGAAGTGGCATTTTATTTCAGAGGTCGCTAAGCCGTGCTAGGGAGCGGCAGAAATGGGGCAGAGCTCCCGGAAAGCCGGGAAGAGTCAGAAGAGGAGCCCTCGGCGGTGCCGGGGAGCTGAGGTGAGGTTATGTGGGGGAAGGCAGTGGGAGTCAGAGGCCTGGCACCGTGCCTGGTTGAAATGATGCCTGCCATACCATATGGTGAAGGCAAAGTGTTGGTGAAGAAGCTCATCTAGCCGCAGGACCCTGATCCAGATCAGTCCAGAGGTGAGAACAGATAGAATAGATAGTCCAGGGTTAGGTTATTTCGAATGGTAGGAATGTTTCCTTGTTTTCCATGCCTTGTCTGTTTAGACTGATCCTCCCTCTTTAGGAGGGAGAGTTCAGGGCTCAGTATATATTGATAGTGACACAGTGGAGTCCTGATCTGTCTGCTTTCTGCTTTACTAATAATTATTAAGCAATGCTCATAAGTTTGGGGTTTGAATTTGTTCAACAGAACAAAACTTGAATGAGATGATCCTTGAAGTCCTTTCCAACCTGGTATTCTGTAACACTGACTTCTGTGAGCTTCCAGAATTGAATAGTTCTTTATGAGTAAAGCTACACTCGTGCCAATTTCTGGCAAACATCTGCTAGCTGTGATTTCAGAAGCTATAAATATAAGAAAAAATATCAAAGACCCCAAATCAGAAAGTCCTGCTACCACAGGTATGAAGCTTAGGTTCTGACAGATACCTGGAATGGAGCACAGCAGTGATAAATTGGGGCAGATCTACAGTGGAACACTGCGTGTTCAGTCTTGTCAATAATCTTGTCTGGATGTTACTTGAAAATAAGATATTTTTAAATAGTATGGGGATAATATTTACTCTTGCTAACATTCTTGTATTGACACAATCAACATGATCTTCAGCGTGATTTTTCTGACTTATGAATTATTTAAACATTGTTCATATACTGTCATTTAAGAGGACTAAGGCTCTGAATATGAGACACAAAACTGTATTATCTATTAGCACATATTAATGCTGGTATAGGGGTAACAAAACCCCCAGCACATTAAAATTGTTTCAGTCAAAAGATTTTGAAGCACTGCAGTTGATGATGCCTCACCCAACAATTGCAGATACGGGGTTTTTTCTTTCAGCTACCTAATGTGAGTATGATAGATTTTTTTTTTTTTAATTTTTTTTTTCCCCTTGGATCCGTCTCCAGTTGAAATGACTGGAAATGTTCCCTGTTATGTCAGTGGAGATACTGAAAAATAACCTTTTGAACTGGTGTTGTCATATCCACAAAGAGCCCATCAGAAAGAAGAATTTGGCTTCCTGAATCTCTGCTCATAGTCTTTTCAACTGTGTTTGTTGTCATTGTTTTGTGTTATTTTTCTATCAATCATATGAAAAAGTCAGTGCCTTTTTTTTCCTTTTTTAAAAATATCTGTACATTTATTTAATTGTATTGGTGCTGTTTAACTGATTCTGTAACTACTAGTAACTAGTGCAAGGTAAATTTAAATTTTACCAATCTAAACCAGCATGACTCTTCTTAGAAGCGTAATACACTAATGCTGTCTACAATATCTGGGAGGGCAGTAAGGATATTATCCTAACATAACCTGCAAATATGTTTTTCATGAGGTATGGTGTTTTTGTGGGTCGTCAGTCCATGGTCTTCCTTTACCACTGTTTGTCTAGACAGCCTTGCAGGTAAACAAAACCCCCAAATGAACTGTTTAGTGGGAAAAGTTTTATATAATGTTTTATACAATACATGGCCTTTAAATGTCTATTTCAGAAGTGGAACAGAGAAATAATCACTAAGAAAAATTTATTTTGGCACCAGAAAGTGAAGTAATCTTGGTACCTACTGAGTCACTTCAAGTGATATGAACCTAAATTTACTGTGTGGTATATAATTCTTCCTCTCTACTTACTGCAGTTCAGTATGTACAAATGACATTGCCTGGCAGGGACTCTGATTTGCAAAAGTATGTTTTTAATGACATTACGAAAAGATTAGTACTGACAGGTTTTTATATATATTTCCTATGTGGAGCCAGCTCTTCCAGCCCATTTCCTTCAGTGATATCTGGAGAGGATCTGATAAGCTTTACACTGCGTTTCACAGGTCAGAGGGCATTGTCTTCCCCTTCATTCCAGCTGCCAACAACAAAGTCAGACATATGTTATCACCATCACACAGGAAGCTCTGAGCTTCCTCATGGTCAACAAAGTACAAATACAGGAAGAGTGTCTGGTTAGTTAAAAGCTGATGATGCTCTGCTAAGGTAGAATATAGTACTATAACCCAACAATGCTATTCTATATGCTATGTATGTTTCAGTATCAGGGAAGGCTGGTTGTCTATGGTTGATTGGTTTAATTCTACTACAGCATATGTACAGGTATCCATTTAAAATATATTACAGCTGGTATCGTATCCTGAGGTGGGGATGCATAATGTTGAAAGAATAATTACTTATGCAGCAAAGAGTGAAGCTGCAGTGGAATTATGTGATAATGAATTGAACACAATATGTATCTGAACAGATACAGTTTCACACTGCCAATTAACAAACAGGATGTGAGTTGCCTTAAATTTTCTCTAGATTCCCTCATCTCAACATATAGTATGTTGTATATCAAATTATAATGATGTACAATATATTAGCAAGCTCATAAAATGCTGTGAGGCATGACATCTCAGAGTTGGTAAATGTGGGTTTCGCAGTTCTCTGTAGTTTTGGAATGTGAAAACAGCTTAATGTGAGCTTTGTGTTTTCAGCACTGATAGCTAGTAATTCTGGAACCAAGGTCATTAGTGCTAAATTTGGATCTATTAGCAGCTTGTCTTCTGCTTCCGGTACATTGTTTACTGCTTCAGGAAAGTCTTCCCAATACCTCGTACTAGTTCCCATCCTCTCTGGCTTTTGCTCAACACAGAACAAATCAGGTCAGGCACACTGAGTTCCAGCTCCTTTCTCTAAGGGCCAGTTGAAGCTCTGCTACTATGTACTGTTACCGCCTGGAACTGCTAGGCCACACCATTAATAACACGTACAGATATCTGTAGGAGTAGAGCACTGTAGTAATAGACTTGAGCTCACTACTTGTTCATGACTTCAGGAAAGGGAGAAGTGGGGGTCTTTTTTTCTAGTGACAGTGCCAGTGAATGCAGCAGTGAATCAGTGAACTTACTGCAATTTGTCCCATCTCTATTCATTATATCTTTGTTTTCACACTTTCAGTGACGATGCTGAGTTAGTATGCTTCCAGAAAGGCCCTTAAATGGTTTGCTTCCTCTGTTGAGACCACTAGATTACTTTAAATGTGAAACTAGAACTTGAGTTTTAGCCATGCAGAAGTATAGCTCCAGCATCCAGTGCCAAGTGTCCACACTGGAGTGCTGTGCGAATGGAAATAGTAAGCAGATATGAAAGTCTTGTGAAGACTTGTGACAGTGTGACAGATGAGGACATAGGTAGGAGTGTGTCATAACTCAGACCCACTGAGTTCCTAGTTTGCCTGTATGTCTAGCAGGGGACACCAAGAGAAGAAATGATGTATTCACAGCAACTGAAGCTCAGAGACCACAGTAAAGCTTTCCATCTGATCCAAGGGTTCACTGTTGAAATGTAATTCCTGAGATACAAAGTCTGTGAGTAGTTTCACATATGTATCTAGATAGATGCAGATACAGGGATATATCAGGCCAGGTCAAATTTTAATAGGCATTTTGCCGCATATGTTCTTCCATTTTTAGTCTCTTCTGCAAATCATGTTTAGGAAGTTTATGCTAGAAGTGCTCTGATTAAAGAGAAGTTGCTAATATTATGGTGGACATGAAAGCTATGTTTATTATGTGCCACCAGAACAAGAAGTTATACCAAAACTGCTTTTTATATCCATGAGTGATTTTGATTATACCTGAGTATTTGCACGGCATGGAAGAATTCCTCTATGTCATAAAGCAGGTGGAACTGCTTTTCGTATCCTCTGCTTGAGGTGTACAGTAAGGCATACCAACAATCTTTAAGTGACCAAGGCTGAAGGAATTCATACCAACTCATAAACACTTCTTGTTCTTATCTTGTGCAATTTTATCTGACAGCTGCCTTTCTAAGACAATCGTGACTAAAAGAAGTCATGATAACTGTTACCCAAAGTGCAAGCCAAAACAGAATAGTGTCACTGTGCTGTGTTGCTTTTCTTCATGTGACATCTGTTACGAAGTTGGGAAAAAATTAGCCAAAAATAATTCAAAATAAGTTACTTCGTTTCAGTCTCCTGATCTTTGTACAGGTATTTTATTTGAATAGAAGCTGCTCCAAACTGCATCTATCACATTGTGAAACTGTACTTGTTTTCTGATCCTTTGTCACAAGAGGGGGTTGGAGTTCTTTTTAGTTCCTAAGAGCTGATGTTCGGCTTTCACTAGGAGATGGTGTTTTGGTTGGGTTTTTTCTTTTTTTTTCGAGGATAAAAGAAGTCCTCATCCTGGACTTGTTGTTGGATTGTACTATTTTTAAATAATAGACTGTAAAATTACTGAAAAGCCTAGGTCAAAACAATGGGCAGTAAGTAAGAAGTTGTTCCATACTGGTTTTTATTTCTTATTTCGATGGCAAATGTAGTAAAAATTACCATGTAAAAAGCATTCTTGGGCATGGTCATACTGTTAAGCAGTGACATTCATATAATGGGAGTTGGGAGGAAATCTCTGTGAGAAACTTCCTATCTTTAGGGAGCCATCACAAGGTGAATCAAAGTTACCAGTTAACCGAGCTGAAGTAAATGAAATGATGACACTTTGTCTGCCTGTGACACTACCCCTGTTTATGCTGGTATCTGTATAAAGTTTCTCTTCTTGTTTTGTGGTAAAGCGGCAAATATTATTGCCCCTATTTCAGAATCCTCACCGTGAACAGGTTTTGGAAAAAGTAATGATAGACTTCTAGGTCCATTTTATTTCTTAGGTAGTGTCTTAAGAATCTGATAGGTTAGGGGATTCAGTACATCCTTGTCTCATTCATTCGCTTCTAAGCATGCAGAATCCAGAAGAAGGAGTGCATTCTTGGAAATGCTTGGGACAAAGCATAGTGTTATGAAAATGGCTTAACATCTACTTTTCACAATGGAATAAGATGATGTGACTGAGGAGATGGTGTCTTTCATGTTTGGTGAAGAAAAGATTTGGAAAAGTTTATTCTCCAGGTTTAGAGAAGAGCTGTCTCAAATGATAAATGATTGCAAAGGTTTTATTTCGATCAGTAGTGAATTATTATGCAAGAAAGATAATGCAGAAATCCTGTATCTGTCTGCAGGGAAGTCTAAACCTCCTTGTTCTTTCTAATTCTGGGAAAAACTTAGTCATTTCTCTTTGAAGTATTTGTTTATGTGCCCTTAATTCTTAGAAAAACTTTTTCACTCATATCTACATCAGCCACGTTCTGTGTTTCTGTTGTGTTGTATTATCTATATTAACTGCCTGTGAGCTTCATGAGGGTTGAACCTTTCTAGAAAATCTCACCATTTAGGAATAAACTGATTTCATATCTTGCATTTCTGGCAGCAGTTCAAGTATTTTCAGCAATGCTCCTGGAAGATCTCTGTCACAGCTGAGCGTCTTTGCAGGGCTGTGGCAGTGGCTTTTTCATTTTATGCCTTTATGTTTCCAGTGTCTGAGAATATTTATTACATGAGTTTTTTTAAAGTAGTAGAATACAAAAATTGCAGTATTTTTAAGAAATAAATGGTTTTCAAGGTAACGGCATGTATACTTTGAGAAACACTACTTTAATGAATGTGAAGTCAGGAAAAATAATTTTTAAACATTGTTAACATGTATAAAAGCATATAGTCCTAAGACTGTATGTATCCCCTGGTGAGGAACAGCATTTTGGAGACCTATTTTTTGTTCCTGAAAAAGACCACAGCTTTTTTCCTTTCAGCTTTGTTTAGTTTAGTTTGATGTTCTGTTGAAAATCCCAACCATAAAAGGGAAAAAGAGGAGGAAAAGAAAAAAACGTCTTGGGCATTGCACTGGTGAAAAAAATAGCTTACACTTAAGTGGGTTTTGTCTTAGAATTACCAAGCAACTAAAGGGGGGTTATATCCTCACTCATTTCTGTGGTTGTTACTGAGTACAGCCTAGTTAACACATCAAATGTAGGGCATCATAAAACTTGCCACAATGTGAGCTACGGTTTGCTTCGTATTTATTCTTGGGAACTTGGAACAAAGGTCAGCACAAGTTTCATTACTCCTCCCATTTGTATTTTCCCATGCTTTTTCCCACACTTGAATGAATCTATATAGAGCTTGCTTATGACCATCATGGTGGTCTGTATTTAAAATCTGACAAATGTTTTTGAACCGAAATGTGGTGTGAAGTCATATCTGAAGTTCTATGATACTGTTTTCATCAGTAAATTAAGGACTCTTCTTTCCTCCGCTTGTTTTCAAGTCAGAAGTGCTTTTTCTTACATTTGCAATTGATTCTCCACTGAAGAATTTTTCAAATTCTTTTTTTTTAAATTTCTATATCTAGTGGTGTTTTTTCTTTCAAATGCAGGCTGAACATGCACATTTTCTTCGGCACTACTTCCTTGTGACCAAGAATTCAAAATGTGATGTTAGGCACTGCCTGTCCACCATGAATTGTATACTGCACTCCATTTACCTCGTTCTAGCTTATTATTTGTTCTGAGCTTGGTCCCCAGCTGAAAGATGTGAAGAAGACCAAGAAAACATTATTTTGGAAGGGATTATTACCTCTAAGTCATGTAGAGACAAAAGGAAAAAAATACTATATTTATTTTCTTTAATTTCTGTTTGAAACCTTGGATCTTTTGCTTATATGAGAAATTCCTAATTCTTTGTTATATGTGACAGAGTTTCAAATTTATGCAGGTTTTAAAAACAGCTGATAGCAGATAAGATTCTTGTAGGTCACAGGCTTCCCACCGTAAACTCTTTGCACTGTTCTTCAGCTGTTCAAATAAACATACTTTCAGTTCTTGTCTTCCTGCTGAGAAATCAGTACATAAGCTCAAAGAAACAGGTGTCATGCTAGACTACCAAGCAGACTAGCATTTTGTTTGGAAGACCTTTCTACTGATGCTGTTAGTTTTGCTTATTGTCTTTAATAGTGAAGATGCCAAGTTTTATAGAATCTACAGGGATGAAAGCTAGCAGGGAAATTTACTGTATTTGTATATATTTACTATATTTGTGTATATTTTAAGACAAATGTATATTTGACTGATACAATTATTTCTCCATTCATCCTGCATTGTGCAGGAGTTTGGCCTACACAACAACTGTGAATTCCTTCCAGCCTGAATGACTGTTACTCTGTGCTGGTGACAGTTACTCTATGATATGAGTGATCCATTTATCTTAGAAAGGTAAGCCTGACAAAAGACCAGATGGGGCCCATCAGTTGTTGCTTGTGTTATGTAGTTGCATTCATGTTGCCTTTTGGTGGTTTGCCTATAGTGCAATACTGCTAATCTCAGGTGAAATTTGTGTACAATCTGAGTGATGAACAAAATAGAGTGGTAGTGGCACAACAAAAAGTTTTCAGCTCTGGAATACCACAATCCAGTGAATTTGCATTGACACCAAAGCAAGGTTATCCCACAATCCTAAATATCCTGTGCTAAGGGCAATCTGGACTATTTTTGAATATAATATGAATAGCACATATGGTATGAATTGCACAGACTATACTATGTATTTGAGAAAGCTCAATTAAAGACTGCACAAAGAAAGGTTTCGTCTTCTAAGATGTGCTGAGCTGAAGCTAACTCGATTTATTGCTGAACTCACTGTTGACCCATTGTCATTGATGTGTATTTTCTCATACACAACACATCAGACAAAACAAAGCAAGTTTTGTTATATCCTGTTCTGTTAGGTTCTTTCCTCATTTTCAGCACAGCTGAGATACCATTATGATAGCTGTAATTCTTTTCCTAAGTAAGAATACATTCAGAAGGAAGGGTGCAAATAATCTCTGTAATATAATTGAGTTCTAAAGTTAGTAAAGAGAAATCAGCAATCAAAGATTGCTATTGTTAGCATAAAGCTTTTTAAAGTTCTAATCTTCTGAAATCAAAAAGTAATGAAAAAATGGGTTTTACTGTGAAAAAGTTTTTTTTTCTGTGAAAAGTGTTGGAGAAATTAGATAGTTCAGGAATTTATTTTTTTTTGGGGGGGAAATCAATGAAGGCTTCTCTGCCAAATACTCAGTATTAAAGGTAATAAAAATTAATAGTTTGAAGAAGGAGCACTTGATAAAAAAATTCCTGAAGAGCTTTAGTTCCAATTTTTTTTTTTTTTTTGCTAATACATTTATTACTGCAAAATGATTCTCTAGGTTAAGAACAGGACATTCAAGAGCAGTTTGCTGGCATTTTATTAGCTATGGGAAAGTCACATTTTTGCAATTCTGTTTTGCAAATGTAATTCCAATAGCATAAAGGTTGGAAGTACTGTGGTTTCTATAATGTGCCTTAACTTGCTCTTTTTTTGAATTATTTTTATTTTCCTCGTATATGGGTGTTATTGCCAGTATACTGTTTCCATTGGAAGTTTTATCTATCAGTTTCAGATACTTTGTTATAAAAATGTATACCCTACTCTTCTCTAAGTTAGCTGATTATTGTGTATCAAATATCACCATCTGTTTTTATTATCTGACAAAAATACAGATGATCAGGCTAGAGGTGCCTTAACACTGATTTGAGTTTAAAGTTCAGATGTTAGATATGCTGGCATAAGCCATATTTTCCTTCCTACCATAGAATTTTGGGTGAGAAAAGTGTTAGAGGTGCTGCTTCTGTACTTTTGTTTCTTTTCATTGTGAAGGCACACCCTCAGAACGTGGAAGCAAATGTCTTTCTCTTGACTGCAGACTTGAGTGCTGTGATCTTTATTTGATCTGTAGAACAGTTTGCTTTCTGAAAACATTTGTTGTATCGACACTGAGGGGCATAGTGAGAATGGAGTTAAAATCTGGAAAAGGAGCCTCTGATGCTGCTGACATATACTTAAGTTAGCAGCTTAGCTTTCTATGATGCCATAAATCAGGTAGGGATAAAAATAGAAGTTGTTACACAATTCAGAAGGCTGCAGAGTATGATAAACTCGTGTTTACAGCCTTTCAAGCCCTCCTCTTTCTTTAGGAAACAGAAAAAATCACCCAAAGCTATTTGACAAATTAATGTCTATTGAATATATTCAATACATCTTTATTCCTGTTGTGATGTAGCATAGATACTTTATAACTGGGGACTCCAGGGCTCATCGTGCTGTGCAGTGTTGAAATGCATATTGTAGAGGCTGAGCTGGCTCTAACTTTTTAATTACCAGAGAGAGAAAGAAAAGTGCTTTCTCATTCATGCCTGCTCCTCCAGCTGTGGGATATTTGGTACTCTTCTGTAATTCTGGCTAAGCAAGCTTCTCAAAGATGCTTTTCTTAATGGGGAACCATATGATTACATATGGCTACTCAGTCTGTAAATGGATTTTCAGCATGAGCAAAGCTATGAAAACCTGTATATAGTTGCACTGCTTCATTAAAATGCTAGAACCTGACAGATTTTAATCAAGGCCCAGAGCACTACACTGAAGGTGGAATGTAATCTTTGGTTTGACTGTGTTCTCTTATTCATTAGAAGATAAATTGTTATAGTATGCTCATCAATGAGAAGCAGCTTAACTGGTGACTGTCAATGGTTTTATTGCAGTGTTTGGAAACTCTTATTCCTGGGCCCTGCATTTGTTGTGCCATGGAGGGGAGCATACAGTAGAAGTGATTGGCCCTGTGTTACAAAGCTTGTAATCTACAAGTAAGAGAAGAGATAACAGATAGAATCAGACAGATGAGGAATTAATTAAATGGTCAAGATGACATGAAAAAAATCCTGTAAGAGGGACATGTAAAGAAACTTGCTCCTAAGCCTGAGAGTACCTTTTATCCCAGTTTCCCCCAGGAACAGAAAACAGAAAACTGTTAAGCTTCAGCATTTTGGTGAAAGGAAGAACTAATTTTAAAATCAAATCACTTACCTAGTTTCTCATGGCTAGTCAACAATAAGCTAGATAACTTCATGTGATTTCTTACCAGTTTAGTGCTCTCTGTTTAACTACAGCATGAGGGAATATGAAGGACTGAGCGGTTTGCCGCTTAGTCTTCTGAAGACAGAACTTTGCCTAATACTATGAAAGGTTGTAAGAAGTGTTCAGTGTTTTAGTCTGTGTACTGTCTACAGAGAACAGTTTTTCAGTCAACCCAGACTGGCTCTTTGGATTATGTGATTCTGACTAATACAAGCGCATCAAGTTTTCCTTTATTAATAGTGCCCAGTGTTAGATGTGATCATAAAATACATGCCTTAATTTGTAGCTTGGATTTTAGAAATCTCCACAGACCAATTGAGGAAATGTAAAGAGACCAACCCGAAATGTTCTGGGAGAATTTCCAAAAAAAATCAAAGCAGCAAGAAGTAGAAATCAAAATAACATCTTTAATCTTTAAATTCTTAGAGCACAGCTACTGTTTCAGCTTTCTCTCAAAATCACAGTTACCATTTTGATATTTTTCGTCTACTGCAGACTGAGAAATATTTAAGGGTGTAGTTAGTGGCTCTCTCAGTTCGTGCCTCTGCTCTGTCCACAGCTATTTTTGACTGTGTGCGTTGAACTTGCGTGGCAAGCCTGGCAACTGAGCAAAGAAATACATGCAGCCAGGAGTAACTGGCCACTCTCCTTACTTTCCTTCCCAGTTCTAATGAGGACTGTGACCTGCAGGCTGGACTGGATAGGGATTGGTGGTTTTCTGTCTGTTGCTCCTGTAACTTGTGCTCTTGCTTCTTCAGTGCCCACTCGGTCTTCAGATCAGTTCATGATGCTGGTCCTGCTTAGAACAAGACACTGCTGAAAAAGTATTCTCAAGAGATTGGGCAGAAAGCTTGCTTATAAATTTTTGGAATGAGTTTCTTAATTCTTACCTTGATATTTTGAATAAATCATCTACAGTTATGAGACTTCTGAGACATCAAAGTATAGCATCACAGACCATAGTAGCATGAGATACTCAGGATGATAAAAGTAATAGGTTGTACTCTACTGGGTAGGGTTCATTTGTTTTTAGGCTCGTGGTGGAATTTTGTGATGTCACTGTTACTATTCCATGGTACTAGTGATTTTTTTTTTTCCTGATTATTCAAAACATTAAAAAGTTATAATGTAAGATCTGACATCAAAACTTCACATGATAAGCAAAACTTCCTAATGCTGCACCTATTCAGATAAGTAATTCTATTGTATTTAGTGGGATTGGTCATGTTATTTACAACTTGATGTGCATTTAAATGATTTTCTGAAGACTAGCCAATGTATTCTGTAATCTCATCTAATGCACCTTTATTATAATGCTGTTGCAGGTGAGTATGTATAGATAGAGCATAGGGAGTTACAGACAGCTGTACTGCATATTTAGAAGATTAATCTTACTAAAATAATTAATCAACACCAGCCTTATTGATAGTGATTAATTCTTGCACTTTATTAATCATACAGAATTGTTGGTTTGTAGCACTTAATTAGCACTGAGCATATGATACTGCAGAGCTGATGCTGTATAGTTTGATGATAAAATCCTCGGTGGTTCTTAGTCCTTGAGGTCAAGGTTATCACTTCTTTCTTCTCTGATTTTCCTTGAGTGTGTGTGATGTTCTCATGCTGTTGCCCACTCCCTCCCAAAGCAGTGTCACAGTGCTCTTTGTCTTGTTTTTGGCTCTGCTGATCATCTTTGCATATTAAAGAGGTTCTGCTTATTTTGTCTGACAACGATTACTTAAATGCCTACAGTCATGAGAGATGCTTCAGAAGTTCTTTTCAGACAAAACATAGGACCAAGCCCTGCAGACATTTAGATGAAGGTTCTCACACAGTGAAAGGCAAATCTAGATGCTGCTTCCATCTCTCTGGGCACAATTTCTTCAACATATTTTCTAGGAGGATTCAACATCTCATTCTCTCACCAGCACCTGCTTCTTTCAGTGATTGTCTTCTCCCCCCAGGAACTACAGCTGGCAGCAACGGTTCGAGTTAGGCTACAGCAGACACAAGAGGAGGCTTCTGACTTTTGGAAGAGCTTTCATTGCTGAAGCAGCTGTTCCTGGTGTTCCCTGGGGGAAAGTCAGAAATCTGTATGAAAGCCAGTTGGACCAAATGAATTTAGGTGTCTCTCATTACAGTTATTGTATTATACATTCTAAGGGGTTGAAAGAACTTTTAAAGCTGATTTAAGAACAGGCTATTGATTGTCAACATATGAATGTAAAGTAATTTCTAAACTGACATATTTCATCAATTCTACATGTGCATCTTTTTTTTAAATTGTTTTATAGACACAACTGCATAACATTAAGTTCTAAACAGATTTTTTTCATTAAGCCTTTTCTAAATACCACATTTATATGGTATATATTTTCTTAATACCACATGATTCTATGATATAACAGTAGGCATAGAATTCTATAATATGCTGGCAGGTCTTCATTTTAATGTTTTTACGTTAGAGCACTAACAGAAAGAGCAGTCCACAAAAGGGAATGCAAGTGTTGTAAGAATAGACCGGTATGTTGTAATGAGAAAGAAAAAAAGAAAATGCAAACATCCACTCATTATTCTTGTTCAAGAGCTTCTACAGTAGCTTAAAAGTTGCTTCACAGTCTGCCAAACAATGGTTCAGCTAGTTGGTTTGTGATATGTATGATGGAATTCTTTTCCACTGACACGTATGGTTTTTCCTTAAAGCTAGCTACTTCTACAAGGCAGGCAAATTATTTCATTTTTTTTAAAAGGGTAAATAATATAGATCCATTAGTTAGGAAATTAGGACTGTTGTATATAATGGCCATTAGAACTCACACACACTCAGGTTTTCTGGCTAGCATGTTATCTCCAGTGGATACAAGCAAACATGCTATCCCTGCTGCTGGAAAGCCACTTGTGCCTGTCAGTACATCTATCCAGGCAGATTAGAGATCTTGATACCACACTTGCTTGCTCTTGTGTCCTCCCTAGACTAGTACCTTGTTCTCTGCTGGTCCTCAGCGTATTGAAGTGGAAAAGTTGAAGATAGCTGAAGAGGTAATAGAGGGTTTTTCAGGGCACATGCTGCATAGTCTCAAACATCTCTTTAAAAGTAATAATGAGTGATTTATCTTGGTTGGTGATTCAGAATGATTGAAAACCCCCACCTAACTTACTGCTTTTGCATGAAAAGAGTGTGCAAGGCAGGGGGAACAACAGTGTCAACAGCAGACTGACTTGTGTTGAGTTGCATTATGAATTTTGGGTAAAAGGTGCTTACTATACATGGTGGTGTGCAGTGTACATGTGCTAAGTTGACTTTCTATCTCCTTCCCCTCAAACTTGTTTGCTGTTGCTGGCTTAGGACTGTACTCAGGGTTTACCTTGTAGGTTGTCTAGAGTCTTGAGCAGGTTGTTCATTCCTTATGTGGGCCTCTGGGACCCCCTTGGACTAGAAATGATCCTGAGTACTCACCTTTTGCTTTTAACTGCAGTGAGATGTGCAAGGAACCAGTAATGGTCTGAGAAAGTGCTGGCCTCTGAAAAGAATTATTTTGCTTTAGAAAAGTGCAGAAAGTGTTTTGAATGTTGCCTTTATCATCACCAAAGGAAATCTCTGTTCCTGAATCAAATACAGTGCAATGTAAATTTGATGGATTTAGCTCAAAAGCATTGTTTCTGGTGGATTGTTTTCCTTGACAATATAGCTGCTAATATTTCATGCACATAAATAATTATATCAGCTATGTTTAATAATTATATAATTGTATTGGCTAATTTATTTCAATTTTTCTTTGCCAAGGTAAACTTCACACATTAGTATCACTAAGTACCGCAAAGTGTCCCTTTCATTTCCTAATGTGCCCTATAAAAATGCATCTCTCCAATACCTTAAAGGAGAGTATATATGTAACAGTTAATTAACTTCTTAATGTATCTGTTTTCTCTTTGGCCTCCATAGTACTTTCCCTTAAACTAGAGAGTATATATTACAAACTCTCTAGTTTATATATACTCTCTAGTATGTGTGACATTTCCAGGAAGCTAATAACACTTTATGATAAAATAATGTTTATCATGTTAAGTTTACAGGAAGTAATAATTATAGTTCCTCTAAACCAATACATAAGGGATACTTCATTCTTCTATTAAAATTTATGAGTTTGATGATCTTTATGAATGGAACAAAAATGTTCTTCTTATTAGCTGTTGATTGCTTTTAACAGTATCCACTAAAGCCTTTGGCTTATTTTTCAAAGAGATTTGAAAATATACCCCCATGAGAGTCAAGGCTAGTTAATTACATTTTGAAATAATCCAAACCCATGCACTTTTTTTTTAATGTTCTTTCTTACTGTGATATTCCAGGATCACAAACAGTGCATAGATTATGTTTGCTCCTCTTTTCTTCCCTGCAGACATACGCACATCTGGAGTGTTTTAAAAACTCTCTTACAATTTGAAGTTAAGAGATGGTGTCTCATGTTAATACTGGAAATCTTTGGAGTGTTTTTTGGTCTGCAGTTTATTAAGCAACTATATGATATTTGTACCAAATGCACAATAATCTGTGGCAAAATCATGGTTATGGATCATCAGTTTACATTTTGATTCTGTTTTCTGGAGGTTTTGTTTTTTTTTTTCTAAGAGGTTGAAAATGGCACCATTGATCCTCCATGGTCTGGAGCTGTTGTTCAGTAAAACGCAATTTGCAAAGTAAGTTAGAATCATGATAAAGGTATTTTCTGGGTCTGTGCCTTTGGGGAATTCTGGAAGGAGTTGTGTATTTGGAGTGCAGCTCTGCAAGCTGTGAATGCCACTCTTTGAAGTGTTCGAGTCTTCAGAATCCCTTAGAAGTCTCTGGGTACATACCATGTTTTATAATTCCAAGAATTTGGTCCTGCATGGCTGACTGGTTCAGAGTAGGGCTCATTATCAGTCTTTTCTCTTTACCTCCTCTTTGGCCACGTATCCAGAATGCTAGTTTCTATGCAGATGTTGTGTTCATGTTGTCATTACTCTGCAAAGCAGCTATTTTGCTTTCATTTTCACCAGGGCATTAATAAAGATCAACAGCAAGTATATGATTTACTGTTGTGACTGAGACAAGAATATGTTTTTTGGAGTGGTTTTTTTTTTTCCCTTTGTGCTCCCTGGAAGAAAGAAATAGTTTGAGCACTTTTGAAATGACTTGAGGGCAGAGACAGGAGTACACTGAGAACTGACTCTCAGCTGGTCCAAAGAAAATACCTGCAGCTGTATGTGAAATAATTGCAGGTAGAAAAGGTTACAGTCTTGCTCACGTACTGCTCTGCTTGCTCTATGGCCGTTATTATTTCAGTGTATTTGTGTTGGTCATTGAAATAATTTGTCCTGGTAGCACTAATGCCAGGTAGTTTCCCCACATCGCCCCTAGCTTTTTTTGAGGCACAGTATTAGGATTATCTATTTAACTAACAACAGCCACTTTTAAATGCCACTCATACTGCGCTGTGTAGTATTATTTAGCTGCACAGATTTATACTGCTTATGAAAGCAAATCAGTGCAGGATTGTCTTTGACCAGAATGATAAGACATCTGTGTTTTGCTTTATCACCGGTAAGTTTCCACTGGCTTCTCTCTTATTGCATTAAAGATTATGCCTAGCAGTTAATGTAATCAGAATATTTTAAACATTTTTTCTCATTTTATCTTGACTGCGTGTATAATTTCTATAATAATATCCTACTTTTCAAATGTGGCTGTCATGTATTTCACCATGTCAAATATTAGATGTCATTATATTAAATGTTAAGTCCTGTGCAGATTCCTTTCATTAAAGGACAAGAATCTGTTTCTTTTTCAAGAAAGTTTTGTCCTGAGGACCTATATTATAAAGCTAGCTTATCTTATTAAAGGCACACGATTAGGTTTTTCAGCAAAACTTCAGCACTTTCAAGCCACTTTTATGTTAAAAACACAAAAAAATGGGTTGCATTATTTTATTGCATAACTAGATATTAAGCCGTACAATCTCCTTCTGATTAAATTTCATAATTAAATACTGCAGCTTTGCAGAATACTTGCAGACACAGTCACAGTTGGCTGACTTTTGCTTTGGGTTTATTGTTTGGGGCTTTTTTTTTTGTGTGCGTGTGTGGGGAGGGGTGTTGTTGGGGTTTTTTTTCAGGCACAGAATTCAAAAGCAGATTACTTGGAATGTGAGTAATCCATTTTGAGTAATCCATCACTGAATATAAACTTTTAAATATGGGAATACATTGGTATTATGAATTTGACCAACTATTCAGAAAAGCTCCAGTAAAGTCATCCAAAAAATCAGTACATGTTAAAGTTCTTTTTGACCTTTTCCTGCTGGTTTTTAAACAGCCAG